CATTGCTTAACTAGCACAGGAGGAGAATTTCCAGTAGGAAAATTTAGAGGTAAATATGAATATCATTACAGTTAAGAGTTTTCAGTCACAGTACTCATGACCTTCAATTTTTTTCTTCCTCCTAACTTTCCCATTAAATTTGATTCATGATAAAATGAAAGTAATTCAACTAAACTCATTCATACAGATTAGATGAATAATTTCACACAATTGTACCATTAAAAACAGAGGCTCAAAAAAGTTTGTATGAAAATAAATACCCTATGAATTTACATATGTGGAATCTAAGAAAAAAATAAAATTGAAAGATATTCTGACACAGAGAACACACTGAAGGTTGCTAGAGGGGAGAATATGTGGGGGAAGGGTGAAAAAGGTGAAGGGATTAAGAAGTACAGATTGATAGTTACAAAATAGTCATGGAGATATAAAGTACAACATAGGGAATATAGTGAATAATCCTATCTAAGAAAATAGTAATATGCAAATTTATCATACCTCTGCTATACCCACAACCACACCCACCAGCCAGTCAGTATCGAGTATGCAAATTAACCTAACCAAGATGGCTGTGGCCACAGCGCAAGCAGGAGGCTTGTGTTTCCCCGACAATGGAGGAAGCCAAGCTTCCCACAGCCCTGACTGGCCCTGGACTCCACTCAAGGCTACAAAGTTTCAATTATAGAAGATAAATAAGTCCCAAATACTAGGGCCTCCACTTGGGTCACTGGGGGGCATGTCCGGCCTGCAAACCACCACAGGTCCCTTCCTCAGGCTGCCTCAGGCTCCAAGGGAATCCCCACCCTGATCTGGGACACCCTTCAGAGCAAACCAGCTGGCCCCCACCCATACACCTGGCCTCTATACTATCTAATAAAAGAGTAATATGCAAATTTACTGTCACTCCAACACACAAGATGGCTGCCCCCATGTGGACACAAGATGGCCACCCCAAGATGGCCAGCAGGGGAGGGCAGTTGGGAGGGATGATGCCTGCAAGGGAGGGCAGTTGGGACTGATCATGCCTGCAAGGGAGGGCAGTTAGGGGTGACCAGGTCGACAGAGGAGGGACATTGGGAGCAAGTGGGCCTGCAGGGAAGGGCAGTTAGGAGCAATCAGGTTGGCAGGAGAGCAGTTAAGCATCAATCAGGCTGGCAGGGTAGTAGTTAGGGATGACCAGGCTGGCAGACAGAAGCAGTTAGGGGCAATCAGAAAGACAGGTAGGCAAGCAGTTGGGAGCCAGCAGTCCTGGATTGTGAGTGGAATGTCTGACATCCCTTGAGGGGTCCCAGATTAGAGAGGGTGCAGATTGGGCTGAGGATCACACCCTCCTCCCCCTTGCACAAATTTCATGCACCGGGCCTCTAGTAATGTAATAAGTATGTATGGTGCCAGTTGGGTACTGGAAATATAGAGGGAAATACTTTTTAAAGGATATGGCTACCTAAGCACTATGCTGTATACCTCATACAAAACAATACTGAATATAAGTTATAAATGAAAAAAATTAAAAACTTTCTGGATACATGGAGGGGATAATTTATAACACAAATTATTTTCTCATTTGCCTTAGTGTAACATCTTTCATATTTTAAAAAACAAACAAGACAGCTATCCACCATCAGACCAATTCATGTATATATCTATATCTATCTATCTATCTATCTATGTGTGTGTATGTGTGTGTGTGTGTGTGTGTGTGTGTGTGTGTGTGTGTATATATATATATATATATATATATATATATATATATATATATATATGCAAACTGTCTCCACAGGAGTTTGACTAGGAGACCAGGAGTTCAATTGCTTGCTATGATATGCGTTGACCGTCAGGGGGTGGCACAGAATGAAGGCAGGCCCTGGTCTGCAGCCAGAAGGAAGGCCTATTTGGCCCTGATTGCCTACCAGGCCAAGGACCCTACCCGAGTGCGAATTTTAATCACTGTGCCTCTAAATACTATGATAGATTTATTGTAGTTGCCCATCTATATATATTTTCACTAGACTAGGAGATAATATGAGTCCCATAAAGAGGGGGACCATGTGAAGATCTCTGACCTTCCTTTAAATTCTCCTTCCTTCCTTCCTTCCTTCCTTCCTTCCTTCCTTCCTTCCTTCCTTCCTTCCTTCCTTCCTTCCTTCCTTCTCTCCTTCCTCCCTTCCATGTGTTCAGTGCTGCCCTGGACTCTCAGAATTCAGTGGTGACAGAGAAATCAGACAAATTTTCCGCTTCCTTAGAGTAAGGAAACATCTAGTATGAAAGAGAGATGAAGGAGACAAATGAATAATTCATGAACAGGATACTCAGATACTGATAGTTGCTATAAGAGAATTAACAAGATCATGTGAAGGAGAATGACTGGAAGTGGATTAGACAAGAAGAGCATCACTCAGGAAGTAATGTTTGAGCATATGCATGCAATTTAACTTCATGGCTCTTTCATTGGCTGAGCCTAACAGAGCAGTTTATTTGGTCATAGAGATGACCCAAAGAGAGAAAAGGGGCTTATATAGGATATTGAGGGTGTAGTGGCAGGGGTGGGGGGTGTGCTTAAGATCAGAGGGAGTGAGTGAGTGCACTGTTGGAGCAGCTGTCCTGATGTAGGAATGTTGTTACTTCATATGTCAACTCACAAGGGAAGCAGATAATGTGGAGCTGGATTGTGTTAGGTTGATATATAAGAGGGTTTTGTCTAATGGTTTATATTTACCATGTTGGGCAAGATAATCAGCAAGAATTCAGAGCAAAAAAAGCATATAGAGGCATGGGTATTTGTAAAGATAAAAGAAGTTATAAAATACTGTAGTCATTTTTGAGAGTAGAAGAACTAAGTCATTAAAGAAAGGAGGAGGATTTAGAAACATTAAGTGCTCATTTTGGACACATGATTAAGAATTTTAGAATGTCACAAAGTCAGTATGATAATGTACTCTCCCCTTCCCCCTTGGCTACACTGTACTTACGTTACCTGCAGATTGAAAAAGATTCATTAACAAAAATTTCCTAGGCATTCCTTAAAGCTTTTATGTTAAAACTAGAGGCCTGGTGCATGGATTCATGCACCAGTGGAGTCCCTCGGCTGGGATTAGGCAGAAACCAGCTCTCCAACATCCCCTGAGGGGTCCAGAATTGCGAGAGGGCACAGGCCAGACCAAGCTAACCCACTGGTGCATGATTGGGGCCTGGAAGGGGCGCAGGAGTTTGGCCAACCAGGGAAGGGCTGAAGGAGGTCTCCAGGGCATGTACTGCTCATTTAGTTCAGTCCCCATCTGCCAGACCCCAGCAGCAAGCTAACCTACCAGTCAGATAATCTGCTCCCTAGTGATCAGTGCACATCATAGTGAGCAGTTGAGTGCCCTTAGCATATCATTAGCATATTATGCTTTGATTGGTTGAATGGCTGACAAGTCAACTGGACACTTAGCATATTAAGCTTTTATTATATAGGATGTGATTTATTATTACTGGTAGCAACATTATATATTTGATGGATGGCAATATATATACCTACAATAATAAAAGCATAATATGCTAATTAGACTGGATGGCAAGACAGCGGAATTACTGTCCAGATGAACTTCTGGACTAAGCCAGGGCTGTGAGGACTGAGGTAGTCTTTGCAGCTACCAGGGCTGAGCCCCTTGCATGAATTTAATTTATCAGGCCTCTAGTGTTCACATAATAATATAGGCAATGTTTAATACACATGTAGTTTTGTTGTTTTGTTTTTTTCTTGCTTGGTTCTTAGCAGCTGCAATAACCTTGCTGTACCAATGGGATCTAAATACCATGGTTTGGAACCAATGTTATCATACATTGTTGAAGCATAAAGGGGGCATAGAAATTATGAAGTTTGATGGTAGTTCATCTTGATTACTAAAAACATTTAGGGGACATTAGAAACAAATACTCCCAAGTCCATTGCAGGTCTACATGAGCATTAGTAAGGTTGTTTAGAGATGAAGAATCATGAAACCGATCAGTATGTTTTCCTTCTCTCATGAAATTCTCAGTGGACAGTGGAGAAACAGTTATTGATTTGATGATTTTCTGTATCACCAGAGTAGACCATAAGGTGGTACCCTAATAAGAAAATGATTAGAAAAAGACAAAAACATTGGCATAATCACTATAAAAGGTGTCACCTGAAATAACTGACGTCTATACTTATAAAAGGCCAATATGCTAATTAGATTGGATAGATGAGACATCTTCTGGACGTCCTTCCTGACAAAGCTGGGGGTGTGGTGTCCAGCCCTGCCTCCCAACAGGGACCTGCATCCCAATTGGGGGCATGGCCAGCCTGCAACCCCCCGGCAGCCACTTACCCTAGCCAACCCCACCCATCAGCAGGGACCTCCCCACTCCGATCTGGGGCCCCCTTCAGATCAGACCAGCCAGATCCCACCCATGCACAAGGCCTTTATCTTATGTAATAGAAGGGTAATATGTAAATTGACCCTAAGGGCAGAATGACTGATGGAGCAGTCACTATGAGGTGCACTGACTATTACCTCTTGGTCCCTTTCTCCAGCTGACAGGCTCTGATTGCCTGATGGTCACCTATGGCTGGGACATGGCATGCGAGCAGGCAGGAACAGCCAACCTCTCGGTTCTTCCCCTGGCTGTCAGGCACTAATCATCCAATGGCAAACAGGGAACCAGGGCTGGGTGGTGACAGAGGGTGGGGCCAGCTGCAAGCAGCTGGGGAAGATGGCCTGATCACAGGCCAAGTCTAGGGATCATACCTGCATACGAATTCCATGTACCAGGCCTCTAGTATTATTGATAACATAACAGAAAAAGTTGTACATCAAGATACTTTCCACAGTCCCAATATTTTATACCACTTCTCTTAGATTCTTAAATTTCTAGATGCACAGTGTCTGAATTCTTGGACTTGATATAGTATTGTATGGTGGGCATCTACACTCTTGATGGTAATGAGTTTGAATTTTCTTCCATTCTCATGAAATGTGTGTGATATTTTCCAGTATACTTCTGCTCTGACCTATGATGCCGTTCAAGTGATGACTGAAGCTTTCCGCAACCTTCGGAAGCAGAGGATTGAAATCTCCCGAAGGGGGAATGCAGGAGACTGTCTGGCCAACCCAGCAGTCCCCTGGGGACAAGGTGTAGAAATAGAAAGGGCCCTCAAACAGGTCAGTCACTCAACACAGTTGTTCATGTGATGTAACCATGGCTATCATTTTTTTCTCTGCTGAATCAGTCATCCTTCTTTTATTCCTTATGTTTAATATAGAGGGAGTATTCTTTCCTTACTACACAAAGGTAGGTGGGAGGTTGAAAAGAAACCTTATAAATGTAGTTTTCTGGACTTGAGCCCAGTGATAGTAATGTATACAGTGTGTATCTTTGGTTGAAGTAAATTTGTAACTGTGCTACCTTCCCATTTATTTATTTAGGTTCAGGTTGAAGGTCTCTCGGGAAATATAAAGTTTGACCAGAATGGAAAGAGAATAAACTATACAATTAACATCATGGAGCTCAAAACAAATGGGCCCCGAAAGGTAAATCATAGTGATTTAAAGGCAGTTCTCTCTGTGTGAGAAGGTGAGTTAGCTAACCCATCCCCTCATCTCCCAAAGTGTCCTGAAGATGTGTCATCACATTTGCTTAACAACTTCCAGAATCAGACATATTTTTAAATGTGTTTTTTTTTCTATTTCAAATCTATTCACTTCTGGTAAGTAATACTGAAATGTAATCTTTAAATAGAACTGGCATACTTCTCTTTTAGACCATGGTAGAAAAAAAGACTTTGCTGAGAAGAAAAAGAACTTTGCTGAAAGTTCATGGTTCAGAAGACAAAACATAACCACTACTGTTCAATATATATTATTTTACTTTTATGGCCAAAATGCCACTCTTTGGACTTTACTTAATATTTCTGTATGATCACTCCCAAACAAATGATCGTTGGTGAATATGACAAGTGAATGTAAAAAGACGAACTGCTTTTAAGAATAGTTTCTGTTTGTTTTATAATCCCTTTCTGTTCCTATTAGATTCACATATATCAAAGACACATTAGTGTTTAGAAGAAGCCTCATTGATATAGGATAACTTCAGATTCAGGCATCAATTAGAAGATAATTCAATGCTTTGTTAATAAAAAAAAAGTCATTTATCCATTTGTCTGCTTTCTGTAACCTTTTTCAGATTGGATACTGGAGTGAAGTGGACAAAATGGTTGTCACCCTTACTGAGCTACCTTCTGGAAATGATACCTCTGGGCTTGAGAATAAGACTGTTGTTGTCACTACAATTTTGGTAATTAACTACATAATTCTATGTTATACTTTATTTTTCTTATCAAAAGTATGTGCCAGATAGAATTGCTTATTATGTTTTAGGGCAATAACTATCATAGTGCTGCTTTTGCAATGTTTTAATCACTGATTGGATATTTACTCTTGTAAAAGGACTACATAAGCACTAACTAAAGCATTAAACTACCTCTTAGGTTTACAAGTAGTTCATAACTTGGCACATAGCTCAGATTTAACAACTGGGTAAAATCTTAAAGAGCATGACTTGTATTAGCTCAGGTGCTTTAACTTTTCCATTTCCATACAATTGTGGGTATATCTTATCTTTACATTTCTTATAAGTTTTAATAATGTTGCCAACTTGGTAAAATGGATCTCCCTTCTTCTTAACTCCAAGTCTCAACATGGTAGTTGGATATAGGATTTTGTGGGAATCATTAGCCTAACAATACTGAGGAAGACATATAAAAAGGCTAACAAGGATTTGGATAAAAACATTGGCTGGCATTAGAAATATCTTAATAAGTCTAAGCTACACATTTGCATATTTTTGCCTTAATCATGCCATTGAGAGGAACCACATCACTGAGACCCCATGTATCCTTGGTGCCACTTTTCAGTAGAAAATTGTGGGCTATGCTGACTCATTTTTTCATGCTTCCTATTTTCTATGTTAGCAGGGAGAAGCTACTAGCTATCCTTGTAGCATCATTCTAGGATATCATATCTCATAGATGAAGCAAGACATGTGAGAGGGTAGAATTAGAACTTCACCATGGTGATGATCTTTTCAGTCTGTATGTCACTGGCCATGCTTGAACCCTATGCTAGAAGTAACAGTAAAATAGGGTTTGGGGTGAATAGTGGTTCTAGGGGTTGTCATAGCCTTCACAAAGAATAAGAGTGTAGTGGATCCAGAGTTGAATGAAATAGCCATTGAGAAGAATTATTCCTTTCTAAACCCTAAGAATTACAGACAAGACAAGGGGGCATGCCAACAGTTTGTGCTTTTGAGTCTCTTGTTTACTTTTGTATGGCTAGATACAAGACATGCTATTGAAATGTAATTATAGATATTTGACGACTTTTTTCAGAAGGATTATGTTTAATCTTTTCTTCTATACTAGATGCCCAATGGATGAAATTCGTGCAAGGAGCATGGCTCTCAAAGCCTTGGCTGCCTCTCGGTCCTGCTACCCCCAACCCCCTCCAACCCCTGCCCATTGGTCATTCTGGAAGATCATTTCGCTGTCCAGTCTAATTAGCATACTAGCTCTTTATTATATAGGATTCCACAATGTCTCTGGCTAAGGGTTAATTATTAAACCAGAAAATTTGTTTCAGAGAGTAAATAACAAAGCCATTTTAATCAACTAAAGCACTGTCTCTCCATATAGGAATCTCCTTATGTTATGATGAAGAAAAATCATGAAATGCTTGATGGCAATGAACGTTATGAGGGCTACTGTGTTGACTTAGCTGCAGAAATAGCCAAACATTGTGGGTTCAAGTACAAGCTGACAATTGTTGGGGATGGCAAGTATGGGGCCAGGGATGCAGACACGAAAATTTGGAATGGGATGGTTGGAGAACTTGTCTATGGGGTAAGTATAGCTCTTCTCATAAAAAGTGATTCAATTTGAACTGTTGTTGACGGAATGCCTTCCTCACTTCAAAGTACCTTTGTCTGAGGTTATTGGTTTTCCCACTTTACTCTTAAGAATGTTATCTTATTTCCTTGTGAACATTTGAAGATTAAAAATGAAGTTAGAAGAAAACATGCAGGTTAAGTGAGACAGGCATTTCGTCTGTCTTGAAGCCTCTGGGCCATATGCTGTGCAAAGGTGGCAAAGGCCCAGATGCAGTGTAAAGATGGAATTAGCATAATCAAGCCAGATGGGTGTACTATGTATTTATCAAAAGGAGGGATTATCTGTGGAATCAATTGTTTTTTTTTGTTGTTGTTGTTGTTTATTCGTTACTGGGAATCTACCAGGGAAATAATTATGACCATGTCCTTGATTTCCTTCCCTTTTGATCCAATAATATAACCATGATTCCTTTCTGACCATGACTCTGGGTACTATTACTTTCCTTTGTTTCCCTTACAGAAAGCTGATATTGCAATTGCGCCATTAACTATCACCCTTGTGAGAGAAGAGGTGATTGACTTCTCAAAGCCCTTTATGAGCCTCGGGATCTCTATCATGATCAAGAAGCCTCAGAAGTCCAAGCCAGGAGTGTTTTCATTTCTTGATCCTTTAGCCTATGAAATCTGGATGTGCATTGTTTTTGCCTACATTGGGGTCAGTGTAGTTTTATTCCTGGTCAGCAGATTTAGCCCCTACGAGTGGCACACTGAGGAGTTTGAAGATGGAAGAGAAACACAAAGTAGTGAATCAACTAATGAATTTGGGATTTTTAATAGTCTCTGGTTTTCCTTGGGTGCCTTTATGCAGCAAGGATGCGATATTTCGCCAAGGTTGGTTACTCACCTGCTTCAACTTTGTGCATTTTAGGTCTCATGCAGGCATTCATGGTGTTTATAAATTCACTCTCACAAAATTAACAGCTGCCGACTACCTGTCCAAGCAGTTTAAGACTCAAGGACAGATATTTAACATCGGCGTAAGCCTGTGAAATATTTGAGCAACATTCTTTGAATGTTGACCTTATATTTCCCTGGTGAAAGTATACACACCATGGAGAGGCTGTAAAATGCATAAGGTTCCTACATTCCATGCCTTCTTGGAGGGGTACCGTGTTTTTGCTGCATATTCTCATTTTACAGTCATCTGTGTGTTGATCCACAGACCTGTATATGGGAAAATGGGCAATAATATATGTAAACTATAAAAGCAAGAGCTTCTTTACAAACTTCATTGGCACACATCCCATCTATTTTATTTTCCCATCATAAGCTCATTGAAAGAGTGTGGAAAGATTATAAAATTTTCTTCTTTTAAGGTTAGGTTGCTGAATTTAAAAACATTTTACAAATATTTAGGAACACATGATTGAATAATAATCAAATGGCAATATATACATCGTGGAAGAAATTTGTGTATATACTTCTCATTATGATATGCTAATTCCTACTTTAGAATGCCTAAATATGATGGGTATATAACAAAACATATATCGCTTTTGTTCATGTTATATACATGGAATAAAAATGACAGACATATTTTGCTCTTCTGAAGAACAAATCATACCATTTCTAATGTACTTGCTTTCATATTTAAAGCCTAAATGATTAGCTTTGACATATTTTAAATTGGGTTTGATTACCTTCCTCTTATTCTATGGGATATTTTAATAACTAGATAGCAGGGTGACTCTTCTAAAACTAATGGTATTAATTTTTTGGCACTTTGGGGGAAAATAAGTGATTAACTTAAAAAATATATGAGAAGCTAAAAAATCTGTATGTTTTGCAATTTTTATTTTATACTCCACCTAGTGAGATAAAGAAAATATAATGTACCCAAAAATAATCAATTGCTTACTTTTCTAATAGTAGGTCAATTTTTATGAAATATATTGATCTAAACAATCTTAATTCAATCATTTTTCTTATGGCTATTCTATAGAACTACATTAAATTAGTAACCTGCCAATGTATTTTTATGGCATATATATATATATATATATATACATACATATATATATATGCCATTTCTGATGATATCTGATAAGATATGTAGAATTTATAGTTTTAACTATATTTAGTTTTAATTATCTATCAGATGTAAGATGAAGACATCAAGAGAAAAATGATGCATTTTTTTGTAAAAAGGCTACTGAAGCATAATATTACCCTATTCCTGAGACATAAGACAATGATCTTAGAGTGACATAAACAAGCCTTAAGGGTTAGTATGAAGAAGTGTAGGGAGGTTATTATGGAATAGAATATGCAGACCTGGCTCTCCATAGATGGACCCTGCTCCATGTCCATCATGGCTTTGAAGGTAGTTATTTTGGTGTCCAGTCCTCATCAACGAGCATAAAATATATTTACACCTGGGGTCTGGAGCACAGGGCACATCTAACAATCCATGTTATGCCAGGGCCCACCATGACATATAGACAGCTTCTAATTTTCAACAAGCCTGCTTTCTAAAACATGATTTTTGTTGTGCACTTCTGATTTTATTGCAAGTCCACATGTTATAATTTTTATTTTCTGGTGAGATATATTTTAAATAGTGTTTTTTTCCCCCTGGTTTTTAATTGATTTCTTTTTGCTATAAAAATACATGAACAAATTCACTTATTAAAGATTTTAAGCATATCTATTTAATCTTATGTTCAATGTGCACTAAAAAATTGGACATATTACATAGTATTGGCAAATTTAGTGATTTTTAATGAACCAAATTATCTTTATTTAAAATGCAGTGATCATTACTTACTCCAGTTTAGAAAAGAATAGAGCAACCTAACATCTAAAATTGTGATAATAATACATGAAATGTACAGATCACTTTAGAGATGCTCTTTAAATATTTTAAAAGATATTTATCATTTCCTTCCAAGAAACATCTGCTATGGAACTATATTATTAATATTAATGAAACATTTAAATTTTAATCTGGAGTGATTTATTGAATTGAATCGGTCACTTTCCTGAAATCAAATTTAGAATATGTTAATTATAATTTTCTGAAGACTAGAACTACAGAAATCATGAGAGCAAAATGCTCAGGAGTTGGCTTTTTATTTTCCTGTTTCTCGTCCCCTATCCCATCTCTGAAGGATTTAAATGAATTAAACTTATTGCCATTTAAAAATATTTAATAGAGAATAAAAAAATGTTAGAATATGTGCATTTATTGGTTCCTTTAGTGCAGGTGTTGAGAGGTTCAATTTTGTAATTAATTAGGAAAACTCTTTGTTACCATAACACATAAAATTGAATTTGCCCTCTGCATAAAATTTTTCAGGAACTCTCAAAAATATCAATTGATCCTTTGAAAACACTAACCAGTAAACAATAAAATGTTCAAGAATTTCTGTTTGAATGATGTATAAGTCCAGTAAGTTTTTATTTGGTACACTTTATATAAATTAGCATATTTCATCCCATTAACAAGGCTTAATCACTGAATTAGAGAATAACTTATGTCTTTATCTTATGTCTATTTTACAACTGGAAGAGAATAATTTATAAAAATGATTCTCAAATATATTGCAAATTAACATCCAATGTATAATGTTAAAAACAATTATCATGTAATTGGTTTTGTTTTAAGGGGTTTGAGCAGTAAGGTACAGAATCTGCCCTCTTAAATTCAGGGTACATGCCATATAATTATTGTGGAATAAATAGTGAACATTTTGAGAGTACTTATGTCTACATAAGAGGTTTCCCAAATTTAAAATATATTTAATATCCTTTCAGAATATAAATGAGGAGTGTTTAACTTTTCATCCTGTCATATTTATTTATTTTAATCCTCACCCAAGGATATTTTTCCATTGACTTTTAGAGAGAATGAAGGAGAGAGGGAAAGACAGAGAGAAATAATGATGTGAGAAACACATTGATTGTTTTGCCTCCTGCAGTAGCCCGTCCAGGGCCCAAGACAGGGAGATGCCTGCAACCCAGGTACATGCCCTTGACCAGAATCAAACCCAGGACCCTTTGGTCCTCAAGGCCATGCTCTATCCTCTCAGCCAAATTGGTTAGGGCTATTTAATTATTTGCATCTCTTTGAGACTGTTATAAAGGCTCTTAATTTCATTCTTTTTTTTTTTTGTTTGTTTTTCACTGCTTTCTCCCTCTCTCCTTTTTTATTTTAGCAACAAATGCTTTTTATCTTAAAAAAAAATATTAGTTTTAAATTAGCTCTCCCTCTTTTCTTTGACTGCTTGAGTTTATTCTATAAATATCCACTAATTTGATATAGTATCTGTGATTCATCAGGAAATATATTTCTGTTCATTGAAGAAAGTTTGATTTAGGTCATAAGTGGCCAAATTTTTGTGATTTACATTTTTTAGAAGTGTTGAGACACAGCAGTTAGCAAAAAAGCTACCTTTGTTAGTATTATTTAAATGCCTTTATTATGTAGAATCCCACCAAATCTTTTAAAATAGCATAGTACACACACACACACACACACACACACACACACACACACACACTGTTTAAAGTAAATTATTGGGAAACTATTAAGCTTTTTAAAAATATTTCATGTAAGATTTCATGGCCATTAGGATTTTATATCTTGGCAAAAATTTGTGTCTAATTTGTTGTCCTTGAGCTTTCTTTTCTTGAGCAGGAGCCACAGAGGAACAGGGTGATGACCGTCCATGCCATGAAACATCTGATTTTTATTCATTTAAAATTATATTTTGTTTCATACCTTTGTTTTGTAGTTAACATTTTTTTTTCCATTTACTATCTATACTGCATCTAAAACCCACATTTTGGCACAAAAAAAAAAAAAAACCTAATGAAATTTTGGATTTTATTTGTTGGAGGGTATTGGAGCTTCATTGGCTGAATCAAAGGGAGGGTTTTCCAGTGTTTAATGCTATGTCTATATTGTATACTCTTATTAACATTTGGTTGGTTGTCAATATTGTTCTGAATATTGCTGTGTGATCTTAGATTCTCTTATTTATGTTTGCTTATGCCATGAGTGGATAAAGTAGAAAGAGCAATGAATGGATTATTTGCACATTTATTGAATTTGCTTTGTTAGGAGATTTCATACCGCAGACAATTTGAGCATGATAACTATGAAAGAATCTCAGGAATCTGAAAGTTTTTGCTTCTGGGTACTTCACCAAATCTGGTTAATCTGTATTCCTTACCCAGAATGTTTAGTAATTTCCAGTTTCATTAAGGTACAGATATATTGAAAAGTATCAATTATTTCCCTGTAAGTTAATATGTGCATAATACTGCTAACTTGTTTTTTTATTAGGTCATTCATTTCACTTTATAAATCCATTTCATACTTGTTATTAGATCCCTCTCTGGGCGCATTGTTGGAGGTGTGTGGTGGTTCTTTACCCTGATCATAATCTCCTCCTACACGGCTAACTTAGCTGCCTTCCTGACTGTAGAGAGGATGGTGTCTCCCATCGAAAGTGCTGAAGATCTTTCTAAGCAAACAGAAATTGCTTATGGAACATTAGACTCTGGCTCCACTAAAGAGTTTTTCAGGGTAAGAATACTGCTTTTGTTCTTAAAACTTAATCTATTTCAACTTTGTCCCTCTTTGCCTCCTCTCAAAGTCTATATAAAGGTACTATGTGAAAGTAAACTCCACCTCTGTCTCTAACTCCATTTCCATTCCTTCTGTTATTGAATTTATTGGCTGACATCTATATAATAAAAGCCTAAGTGACCATATGGCAGAATGACCAGCACAACCCTTCACTATGATGTGCACTGACCATGAAGGGGCAGATGCTCAATGCAGGAGCTGCCCCCTGGTGGTCAGTGCACTCCCAGAGGGGGAGTGCCGCTCAGCCAGAAGCCGGGCTCATGGCTGGTGAACGCTGCAGCAATGGTGGAAGCCTCTCCCACCTCTATGGCAGCAGTAAGGAGCAAGGGGAGTGGGCCTAAGCTGGCAGGCAGAAATCCCGAGGGGTCCTGGACTGTGAGAGGGTACAGGCCAGGCTAAGGGATCCCCACCCCAGTGCACGAATTTTATGCCCCGGACCTCTAGTTGGTTAAAATGCTAATAAGTTTTAGGTGTACACATCTACAAAGCATCATCTGTATATTGTATTGTGTGTTTATCACCCCAGGTCCAGTGTCCTTCCATTCTGTTCACATCTTGGCTTTGTCCCTATCCCCATTCCTCTCCTTAGCTCTGACTCTATATTTTCTGATTCCTCACTTATTTGAATAGAAATACAATATTGCAATGAAATATTAGCTTTATAAAGTTTGATTACAATTTTGGAATAAAATTGAAGCAAAAGTACAGTTAAGTATAAATTAACATTTATTTTTAAAACAATAGTTTTTTTTTATTTTAAGTATGAATGGTCATTTATTGTACAGTTTACAACTTAAAACTCACTTTTAAATCAGTCATGCTATTTTTATGTCAGAAAACAGATTGTGTTTATATGTGAAAATTCTGAATTTTCCGTCAAACTCTCCAAGAAAAGGCTAGCAAAAGTCTCCAGCTTTTTTAAAATGCACAGTATAATTATAATGTATTTTACCTTTGAAAAAATTGGCGGCCTTACGATATGTTTATAAGACAAACCCAATAACCTGATGTTGGCATAATTTTATTTTATTATACTATCAGAGGCCTGGTGCACAAAATTCGTGCATGGGGTGATGTCCTTCAGCCTAGACTAATTTCTCTCCAATCTGGGACATCCCTCTCACAATCTGGGACTGCTGGCTCCTAATCACTCACCTGCCTGGCTGCCTGATTGCCCCCTAATCGCTCCCTGCCTGCCTGATTAACACCTAACACAGAAGAAAAAAACTTTCACCATTTTTACCATTGGCTAATATTTAAAGTTCTAACAGTTATCTTTTGTTCCTGATATGGCTTATTTTGGCTTGATCTATAGCTTTCTCCTTCTTAGATACTGTTTATGACTAGGATTTTATTATTTATTTTATTTCCAGTTTTGTACTATCACAGAGTATATCAAGCCAATTTCTGTATTTACCACAGTAAGAGCTTTGGATTTAGCCTTGGAGAAATTGATTTGAGAAGTTGGGTAATTGGCTAATTAAAGATATATAAATAGCAAAGTAATGAAAAAACAATTTTGGCAATTTAGAGATTAAATGGCCAGTTTTAAAACAGAATTCTAAACTTTTAGTGTTTTTTTTCTTGATGTTAACTAATGTCTCCTAATATCTTCTATCAAATTATAAGATGGGTATTTCATCTTATTTATAGAGATCTATCTTTTTTATCTGCATGTGATGTCAATTACTCAATTTAAGCCTAAAGTATTTTCAGTTAAATAATAGTATAACAAACTGTTATATTAATATTAATTTAGTAGTAGATTCAGTGAGTGTGCATTAGTTTTAGAATTCCAATTTAAGTTTTAAAATTTTAACCTTAAAAACTACACATTCCCATCAGTGGCAATCAGTAAAAAAAAAATGAATGATATTCTCTTTGTTCTGCTTGAGAGAGTGTAAGTGAAAGGCAATCTTGTAACTATCAAGAGGTGTGAGGAAAAATACCCTGAATCTTTATCTCTCAGGGTTTTCTGCTATGGAACTCATATACATCCTTGTACAGAGTGAATGATAAAGCCTGACTCACTTTGGAGCTGCTGATTGTCCCTAATTATAGAGTGCCACTGTAGCATACCTATAATTAAGAAAGAATTAGGCTTTCAATTATAAACCACTATTTTTAGACTTTCACATTTTGATAATCCCTTCTCTCAATAAAAGAGGACAGATCTTAGATGAGTCTGAGTAGAAAATAATTTCAGGGGACATATATGCTTTGTGTTTCTACAGAAACATAGATTTGAAGGATAGGAAATTAATTCTATTTATAAGCCTATCATTGGCCTGTCAATCTATAGAGCCCAATTATTATCCTACAGAAGATAAATGCCTTTCCTAAATCCCCCAAATGCAGTTTCTTACTTCCTCTAGTTCTCTTCTCTGGGAGGTGAGGGACAGTGTATAACCTCTAAATAAGTGATCTATATTATTTATGATGACTTTGGAAGGAAGCAATTCTAAATTATTGTCAGAAATAAAGGTATCCCCCTTCTTATTAAATGAAGTTAATTATTCCATTTTCAGAAGATAATTGTGGTCTGATAATAATCCAGGAAACTATAATGTTGTTACCCAGCATCAGAGATTTTTTTCACAGAGTTTATGAATAGTATAAATGACAAATTGCATTAATGCAGATGTTCTGAAATGAATATAATAGTTTCAAATTTTCCATATATATATATATATATATAATTTATGATCATACATATGACATATAATCAAAATTACCAAAGAATTATGATTTAGATTATATTTTTATTATTTTTTAGATTATATTTTTAAGGGTAGCAACCTTTTTTCAACTCCCTCTGTGGCATTAGATATACCTATTTATATTTACATATTAAAGCACTGACATAATTACAAGTAAAAATGAGGCATTATATAACAGCTTCCCTATAGAACTCTTTTCAAGGGTATTTCATTAAAGTTATATTTTGTTCCATTTACTACCTGTGTTCAGTAATAATACAGTATGCTTTCTTTACTGATAGTCTATTGAATAGATTTTTACTCATTTAAGATAGTTCTCCATAATTATTTCATTATTTCTGGTATAGCTAATGATTCTCTGTCATAGCTTCTTACTTCTAGATTCCTAAACATGTATACACATTTTATATCTTCCAAATATTTTGGAAATAGTGTACAGTCTCATATATGTGTATACACATATGTATGTAATTATGTTAGTATTATAATATCAGAATAAACTCTTCATGACCTTTCTCTCAAGCTTAACCACCTAAATGACTTCTAAAACACTAGGTATTAAGTAAATGCAAAATGTGAATAAGTTAGAATAAACAACACATTACAGAAGTGTTGTGATTCACTCATGCATGGTTAGTCATACTATTACAGCTTTTTCTTCCTTAGTGTTTGGGAGCTTGATTATTGCATAGCAATCTGCATCGCCCAAGGCTTCTCTAGATGATCCAAGACACACTGAAATCACTTCCTGGCTCCTTGGCAGTTTTCCTTCCTCTGACATTTTAATTTTTCTCACCTTCCACAAAACATCTGAGGACAGGACTGAATTCTAAAAGACATGAAAGATACATCCTGCCTACGTTGCCTGGGGAAACCTGTGTTCTGTCAGTTCTGCTAAATGTAGCTGGTTTACCAGTGCGGGAAAGGGCAACAGTTTAGAAGACTTTGACAATGTCTCCTTTCAAAATCAGTGTTCAGTTTATGGACCTCACTGTGCCTTCAGTAGTTCTCCAATTAGGGCCCACTCAGGGTCCAGTTTCTGGAGGAGGCCACACACTAAAATGAAGAGAGAGACTAGAAAAGAGTTCATTTGGAACAAATGGGGGACCACGAAGAAGTCAACCTCTAGTGGGAAGATTACCACTAGGCTCTGGCCTTGCTATCCCTTTTATTGAGGCTATGGGATACACCCATTACCCTCAGGCAGATAATAAGTGGATTATCATATCAGTAAGGATTTACATGATTACAAGACGGGGAAGTTGCCTCAGTTACCATTGGAATATAAATAAATGTATGAGAGACCATATTGAACCTGTTTCCTGTGATCAGCATAAGCTGGGAGGAACAAGAAAGGGTACGTGTACCTGCTAAATCATGATCATGGTGCAGAGTCCATGATCCAAAGAGTCCCTGAGGTAAATATGTTAATTTGGTCTTTCTCTTCTTCCCATGGCCATGCTGAGCAAATGTCAGGGTGCTTTCCACACAGTCACTTCATTTAGAGACCACCCTTGCAAAACAGAGGAGGTGTGAGCTCACATTATCCCAGGATGCATCTTTTGACTCTAATCAGACTACAGGCAGCTTTCTAGTATTGTCCTTGTTAAAGAAAAGATGTCCCTTTTCACACTATCATCAGGTCATGAGGACAATTATTCTAGCAGAAAAGGTCAAACTATGGAGAAATAATTTGGGATTAGTCTCTAATCCCCACACTCTACTTAAACTCTGGTTCAGATTTCTCTGAGAAGATGAATTCCAGTATAAACCTCTACTGCTGCTTCAGATGAGACTTAGTGTTCAATTCACTCTGTTTTTGTGTTTATGTAAGAGAATCATTTCTGCTTGCTCACTCTATTGGATGTTTCACACTAGTTACCATGGTAATGAACACAGTCCCAGAGCTCTGCAGAGAACAGCAATAAAATTGTGCAATCATTTAAATATACTGGAATTAAAATCTGAACTATAATTATTATTGTTAAAGTTTGAGAATTCATTAGGTGATATCTGAAGGTAAACTTGATTCTAAAGTAATTGACAGTTCACATTTCCATCCCATATGCTCCAGATCATGTCCAGTGATCATCAAAAACAAGTTGCTAGTAAAGGTGGCTGCTTATTTTCATATAGAGATGAGGTTGTAGGAATAGCACGGCAATTGGCAATGCCAAATAATGTGGCAGGGTCCCAAAAAATATGTTTAAGATTTTT